GTTCTTATTAGCAAAAATATTAGAAAAAAATTTCTCAATCTTGCTTTATATGAAGTGTTTCAATTTTTTTTTTTTTTAATAAGAAAAATGAAATTTATTTCTTCAGTTTTCGAGGCTGGGAAGTCCAAGGTCCAGGGGTTACATCTGATGAGGGCCTTCTTCCTGTGGGGCCTCTGTAGAGTCTTGAAGTGGTGCAGAACATCCGAGGGCAAGGACTGAGCAAGAGCACTTCTTTGTGGTCACTTGCTCCCCTTATAAAGTCCGCTGATAACCCATTAAACCAATAATCCAAGAATTAATCCATTCATGAGGGCTAGTCCTCATGATCCAATCACCTCTTAAAGGCCCCACATTTCAAATACCGTATTGGGGATTAAATTCCAACATGAGCTTTGGAGGGGGCAAACATTCAAACCATAGCTTGTCCCATCTTCAGAAATCTGTTTTATCTATTCCCATACCAGTTCTTACACTTCTTCCTATGTCTGGGCTCTTGTACTATATTAAAGCTATTGATGGTGGTGATTTCCCCTTAAATTTTGACCAGAAATCCCCTTTAAAACACCCCAAAGCTAAAGACTGGAAATAAGATGTAAGTTTATAAACTTCTCTCATTAAAAGTGGATGACCCCATAAAGCTGCTGTCCCTCTTTTAAAAAGTCCAAGATAGTTTTGGGAAGAGGGAATTTTGGAGTCTTATTGGCTAAAGGGACTAGAAGGATCTCTCCCCAGGAAGGGTTGTGGGGCTGATTGTGTAGTGCTGAGCTATGCTTGTAAAAACACTCTAGTTTTTACAGTATTTCCATGGAAATCAAAGTGATACTAACCCAGATACTTGGGTTAAAAATCAGACAAAGAAAAGAAGAGAGTCAAGAGGTAGGAAGATCTCTTTTCTAAATTGTATGGTATTTACTAGACTTTGATCAGAGAAATCCAAAGTCTACCATACTGGATGTGTTCTGGAATTCCAAGCTGTCTCCTCGACTATAGGCTGCAAAGATTTGGCTTGTCATACCAGACTAGTTTTGGCTTGTCCTACTGGACCAGGTTTGTGACGGAGATAGATCTACAGCTGGACCAGCAAAAGCACTGAGAAGGAACCCTGTCCTTCTAGCTGGGGCCTTGTGGATGAGAGGTACTGATATAGATAGTGGAAGGAAGAGCTGGATATCTCGTCCTCGTCAGGAAAACTGTACAGTTCTATGATTTGGGCTTTGTCATAGACATCAGAGTACAAAGCAGAAAGTGAGACCACTAGCCTCTCCGATTAAGGATCTTGCATTTGAAAACCACTTGTGGAACTTTAAGTGAAGATAGAGTCCCATGCTTGATTGGAAGAGCCTAAGATCTGAGGCGGGAGGGAGCGGTGGAAATCTGAAACCTCAGGAAAAAGAGAATTAGGATTGGTGGATGTGCTCTATGAGAAGGATTTGTTTTGGTTGTTTTAGTGATTGCTGCTGTTGCTACTGCTGCTTCCTTAATTTGAATCACCTGTTCCTGAACCAGACCTTCACTGTTGACTCCAGTAGGTTGAGTTTCAAAGCTAGTTTCTTCTGGAGATTTTTATCTGGGAACCTGGTCTGGCTAAACAGAGCCTCCAACTCTTCATACTATTTGTGAGTGAATGTGGTACGTTCTTGATGCTTCTTCCGTAATGTGGAATTGGCTTGATCCAGTGACATCGAGTGCGTACTGGACTTACCCATGTTGATTAAAGTGTGTGAGGAGTCACGAGGGGCATTCTGTTCATCAGGGGTATGGGACTAGCTGGATCCCATGGTATCAAGTTCATACTGGAATCATTCAGGTTGGTAAAAGGGTCTGGATTCTCTGGGGCCATTCTGTTAATCTGGGTTTCTGAAATCTGGGATGGAAGGACTGTTGTGGAGTGCCCTTTTCAATCCTGCTTGACATATCTCCCTCAAGATGCAGTTTTGTTAGTGTATATTTCAAATTTTTATTTGTTAAAAACAAATTCTAGTACATGGCCAAATATTGCCTTGCCAGTGCCCACTCCTCCTTACCCCCCCCCCCCCCCCCC